TTTTTTCCGATATGATTACATAAAATTTCAAATTATTTAATTTTACTCCATGAATTTAATTAATCTTTACGATTTTTTTATGTTCTATTTCAGACAAGGTAAAAATATTTAGTTTCCAAACATTTGAAATATCAGTTATCAGTTTTTGACCGCTCAGTCTTATTTTTTGAGGAAATATGATAAGCAGATCACTTTTTGTCCAATATAATGAACTCATTTCAATAAATATATAAACAGAATGTTTTTTTCTCATACATTTTTTAAACTGCTTTTGTTTTTTTTTGAAAAAAATTTAAATGTTGGAAGATTTTGTTAGTAATATTGTCGTCGTGTGTGAAAAAGTTTACGACATCGCAGGGAAATTTTCGGTCTTAGACTCGTTACTTACCTTTCCGGTGTGATATAATTATCAATGTGATCTTTTTGATGTAGCAAATGACCAAGGACATTAAGTACATGGTACATATTGCGACGACACGACCCTTCTTTTAGTAATTTAAAATGCTGACCTTACCAACATTCTCGGTTGTGTGATGAGAAACCGCGGAGGTTCTTCGATGACCTCTCGCTATACTTGCCCTCGCTTTTACCATCTATTGATTACAATTTTTCTAGAAAGTTGGCTGTTTTACCATGAAATCTGTTTAGTTAGGGTGATTTAATTCATGCTTGACTTGTCCAAATTTTCCCCTTCTCATTGCGGATCCAGATTTGCTTAAAACGTTACCTATCGGTGTAGGGCTCTATTGATATTTTTTCTAAATATTAAATTTGCTTTGCTTTTCAAAAATTTTCACTAATTTTTATTTACAATTTAATATTTATTTAAAAGCTTATTTCAAAGTCTGATCTGAGTGCAAATTTTGCAGACAACGTTTTAAAACGTTCAGACAGTTACATTTTCGACGCTCCATAAAATATTTCAAGTAAATGACGCTGCCGAAACTTCAATGTGTTATATGTTTTTCGGCTGCTTTTTTCACAGAACTTGCAGCGCTCAGCTGTGGTCACACATTTCATTTGCGATGTATTCGAGAGTGGTTGGAAGTATGCTCGCTTTCGTTTTCATATATTCCCAACCATATTTTCAATATTACTTTCACTCAATCAGACTTTATTCTCTTATGCTATCCTTTGTTTTCAATAATGCTTTCAATAATCTTTATTTCAATATTTAGTAATACTAATACTTTTATCACTTCTGGTCACTTTTAGTTTATTTATCCGGTAATTAAACTAATGATCTAATAGTTGGACGATACCTGTTCATTAATATTCTCTAGTAAGTTATTTCCTATGAAATCACACAAAATTTCCTCCAATTTTCAGAATCGAACACAATGTCCAGTATGTCGGAAGGAAATGCCAGAAAATGATTTACTGACGCCACTAGCATTTCGAATTCTCGACAGTGACTCCTACATTATTAATAGTTATTATAGAATGATGCAGATAATTTTGGTTTCTGTTTAAGTCTATTTTATTGTAAAAATAGCAACGAAATGAAATATAACATATAATAAACGGATTACAAATAATAATAGGTTAATTAAAGCTAATAGTTCAAAAACTGACGGAAATTGTTGATGAGCAGCTATTTATGGTGTAAAATTTGATACCATTAGGAGATGTAATTTTGTTGAATATCGGATAATTCCAAATTGTTGAATTTTATATCATTTGTTTTTAATGTACTTTCAAATTTGTTTTATCAAATAGATATCTTTTTTTTTAATTCTTATCATTGTTTCAGTTGAAAAACGCCAATTTACTTTTCCGATCGTCAGATTTGTGTGTTGCTTATTTATCTCGAAAAATTCAAGCGGTATTCTTTGATCATAATTCTGTAACGGACCATTCTTCAATATACAATATAATTAATACCTGTCAGTAAAAAGTAAAAGCTCCTGTCCTTAATCATTTTTTGATTAGGCAATCGCAAATTTATACAATTAAAAATATAGAAATAAATATAATGATATGCAATATTTAGCATAAATTAACCTCCAACAAGTCTAAATTAATCTGGAGCATAGGTCTGTTCAAGGACATTATCTATTGTACAATAAGAATTGTTAATTATTAAAAGAGTTCACTTATCGTCGAAAATTTCGATTAATCATTAAGCGTTAGAACAAAATTTGATATGAATGATAATGATAATATTTTCGGAATGATTTGCAGACGAGCAAGTAATTTCTTAAGGATTCCTCACTTCTTAAATCGAGTAATTTATTTGTTACAATAATTGAAAAACAAGAAATTCCAAATTGTTTGGGATAATGCATGCAGTGATAAATGAATATATGAGAGTAAAACTACAGATCTGGCCATAATCGATATTTCTTCAAATCCATTTTTATATTAGTTTAAAAGTTTCATCTCATTCAAACATAAATGAGTTTGTAAGGAAACACTCTGTCCATTTTTGTGAGATATCAAAAAATTAGCGCACAGTTCCAATGCCTCTAAAAAACGCATACTTTATCTTATAGTTTCAGAAAAAAAAATCAGAAATAATAAAAAGAAAAGTTATTTCATTTCTTTTGCCAATAAATGAATTAATTTTGTTTAAGAAAGGGTTTGTTTGCTATTTGATAATTTTCAATTTCATTTCTTCCGAAATCGCACAAACACGAAGTTTATGCTTCAGTTTTGGCTTCTTGAAGAGATGAAAAAATTGGAATTAATAAACGTGAAAAAAGAAATAGCGTGCTTTGTTTGCTCACGGAATCTTCACTTGACAAACATCGCTGCATTACGCTGCGGTCATACATTTCACCCTCAATGCATTTCACCGCTCGTTAAGGTGAGTCTCAAATAAATAATATATTTAAATTATGAAATTCAATCTGCTAATCGAAAAAAATTTAACTCCAAGGCAAAAATTTCTTCAATTAAATTCTATAAATACTGTGATGGAAAAAAGTTTATGAGAGAATAGAATCATTGCAGATTTCTTTCTACCTCTCAATCTGATAAAGTGAGAATTTCAAATCTACTTTTATTAAAATTAAAGTTTCATATCATTTTATCACAAAGTCATCCAAATTCTTTTGTGACCTTCATTTCGACAATATTTTTGCATTATTGATTTGTCAACAAAAATAAAGTTGTTAATTCAATTTAATTCCATTCCTTAAACTTGTTAATTCAATTTAATTTCATCGTTAATTCAATTTTATTCCATCGTTAATATTTGATATGATATCTTATTTTTAAAAAAAAGTAACATGATGCAGTCCAGAACTGAATTGCTTCTTTCCTGTAATTATATATTCAATTTGCATGACAGAGAACAACTTATAAGTAATTCTCTTGCAAATTAATTCAAATTAATTAAGACAGTCTTTTCATGAATTTGCAGATTGATAAGAAATGCCCGATGTGTAAGAAGGAAGCTGAAGAAGATAGCATTATTCCACGTCTATTTGTTGAGATCAAAGAAAAAGACGACGATAGTTCAAACATCAATGATACAGAAGAAAGGGAAATGTCAACTGAGGTTTAATGCTACGTATTCTATAACATATTAGAACATTCTAAAGAAATCAAAACAGATCTCATTGTTTTTTAAATCTCGAATAGTTCCATCAATGCGACTGAACAGTTCATAATAAGATGAGTAATATCAGTGTAAAAGCTGGAACTCTGAAAGTTGAGTAAATAAACGGACGGACGAAACAGTCTCGTAGTGAACATGAAGTTGTATTACAATCAATATATCGAAAAGAATAAATAAAACAGTTTAGAGATCTTCTTAAAGTTCTAATTTTACAGTTAATTTTCATTATGAAATATTTTCCAGATTTTGGATGCTTTAGATGAAATGGAAGTACAAATCAGACTCATTTATGTGCAGATTAAGCATAACATAGCACTAATGGAAATGTTGAAGAAAAGAATAGAAAGTTGTTTTGAAATTTGGAGATGGACACTGTGAACAAATAGCTTTTTTTTGAAAAGCCAATAAATTGTACAATTGCATAATTTATGTTTATTTTTGGAAAAACTTATCATTACTTCCGTTTTCATGATGCAATCTCGACCCTGCTCTGACCTGCATACCGGGCTGTTTGAATTAGTCTTTTTTTACTTTCCTTCCAGTTGTACAACATTCTTCTCACGATGATCTCAAAAAAATTTGTATTTTTGTCAGTGGTGTTATTTTTAATTGTATAATTGACTTTCGAAATTTTTAAAAACTAATTCATGTGCAACTTCTGCTAGCATTATAAATCAAGGTAATCATCTCATTTTTTTGTGAAATACAAGTTTGGATTGGATCTAATTTTGAGAGCAGCAAAATTTTAAAAAAAATGCAGAACCAGAATAAAGAAATATGACAAGAAATGTAATAAAATATAGAAATTAATAGATAATATAAGAATATAGAAAGAGATTAAAGAAAAAAATTAATTCAAGATTTTTCAAACTCAATATTCGATGAAATGAAGGTAACAACATATCCGCATTAATTTTATGCTAATACAAACCTTAATTATGCTTAAATTTTGTCGGTTCGATGATGAAAAAAGTAAATCCAGAAATCATGAAAATAAATTTCACTATTTCTGATTACCATGCAAGGAGCATCTAAAACTTTTTTTCAATTAACGGCAGGAAAAGATTTTAGAACAAAGAATTTTAATGAATTTACAGTTGAATTTTTCTCCATAAATGTTTCACTCATTTCCCCAATTTCGAATTTTCAAATTAACATTTTTAAACGATAATTTTTTGTCTCCTTTTAATTAACATTTCTAAATGATAATTTTTTATCATCCTTTAATTAACATTTTTATACGGTAATTTTTATCACCTTTTAATTAACATTTCTAAATGATAACTTTTTGTTACCTTTTTCACCATTTTTTAAAATTTGGAAAGGAAATGAGCGGCTTTTGTTGCTCTTTTGTCACACATAGTATAACCAAAACACATCAGAGTACCTTTCAACCTCATAAATGGTCACTATCACTCAGTTTATCAATCAATCATAACAGTTCGGAGCTGATTGTTTATGAAAAATTTGCTAATAGTATGGTAGGGAGTGGTTTGTTAACCAATCCGGACTGTATATTTTTAATTAAAAATTCGAGAACTCTCATTACCCGAAATAAAAGATATCCCAGAAATCGCAGAGCATCGCGATATATGCATATAAAAGCGCACACAGAATCAATTGCAAAACAAACAATCTCATCCATAAAATTTTATTTATTTCACATCCTTACGTGTAGTTGCACATTACCGCCACGTTTGGTATAATTACTTACCAAATGTCTTTTTCTTCTTTTTCTATAATATAAATCTTTTTTCCTGAGCGATCGTTAGCTTATCATGCTATTTTATGAGATTGAAATTTAATTTTGTTGTGTAATTATTGAAATTGAGAAGAATTTCAAAAATTCAAAAAAATAGAAAATTCTAATGGCTAAATGATTTTTTCCCATAACATTCTTTATTATTTGAATCGGATTTTACATCATTTAATAACTATGTTAATATCATTTTAATAATACTTCATTTAACATGAAACTTTAAATGACGTGATTTTACATAAATTTATGAACGAATGAGTTTTATGACGAGATTTATCCACCGTGAATAATTTTTGATTTGTAGCCTATCGATGACGTTGTGAATTATTTAGAATGGTATGATTTCTGTTCGTTTCAATTTTAAAATTTTCATTTTAAAACTGTGAGGAATAATTTTCCTTTTATCTTTCTTGCTTTCTTGCCAAAATGAATGAATTAATGCATTGATTCATTTTTTCTTTTATAACAGAAAAGAATTATTTTCCCTTATTCATTTGCCTCTAACCTTAAGGAAGTTCAATACATTTCCATCTATTTCCACAAATCATAGACATGTTAGTACCATTTTAATTGAATTGTCATTACAAAATCATATAAAAATTGGGCTTTTAATAGTGTTTAAAAAAAGAATGAAAGCATTAATTCATTTATTAAAATACTTTTAAGAAGTTTTGAATTTTTAAAAAATTTTTTGCTTTCCTGCAATCATTGAAGTCATCAGCATTCAACATTTTCCCAATAACTTTATTTACATAACCAATTTGATAAAAGAGAAAAACATTAACTATTAAAACGTATTGGTGTAAGAGTATACTTCCACTTATCTTACTGATACAAAAATCGAACATTTCATTTAATTAGATTTCAAAAAAATAGTACATGAGTTAAAAGTTGGAAAAGTTAGAGATCAATAACAATAAAATTGTGGTGGCAAATCCAAAAAGCCGTAGCATACTTTAATTTCATCAATGAAAGCTTATCATGATATAACCGATTGTTGTACTATGTGATGAATGCTACAGCGATCTTTTATTTTCGTTTATTGTGTGTCATTCTGTGTTTACATCATACCAATTATAAGCTAAAATTTAATATGCTTAAATAAATTTAACAAATTTCGATAGAAATAACTGCCCAACCGTATTTACATTTTTCAGACATTTGTATAGGAATATTTTTGATGGCTATAATATTTACACTTTTATCAGCCTTAAAACTTTATTAATATCCAGGTGCCGTTCGTGGTTGTGGACAGTGATCACAGCCTCCTATTGCGCCATTTACACCAGTTGGACCAGGATTACCAGGTTCACCAGGTCTGCCAGATATACCATCTCTACCGGCAATTCCTGGTTGTCCAGGCGGGCCAATTGCCCCCGGTGCACCCGGAAGACCTTGATTACCTATTCTCCCAGGCTGTCCAGGTGCACCTGCCGGACCTGATGGCCCTGTCAGCTGTTTCCTCTCGATTATTCGACCTGGTAGTCCTGGTAGTCCCTTGATTCCTTAAAGAAATTATTGAAATATTAGAAAGATAAATAACAGAAAATTTCTTCGTGCATAGTTATCGCTGTTGCAACAAATACTTACCAGGCACTCCAGGTATGCCAGGAGGTCCAATTTGACCCCGTCGCCCTGGTGGACCTCGTAGCCCGTCTTTAGCTGCAAATCCAACCAGTCCTGGTTTTCCCCGCGGACCTTTAGGTCCGGGTTTGCCAGCTTCACCCGGTGGACCATCTTCACAATCAAAGCACCATTCCTAAAGTTTATATTAGGAACGAATTAGCATTAAATATTGAAAAATCGAATTTTACTTGTGGTACAATTGGAGGTTGCGCTTCAACAGCGTCTGGACCATCTTTTCCTGGACGTCCTGGTTCACCGTCTTCTCCATCTTTACCGTTCAATCCTGGAGGCCCAGATATTCCAGGTGGAGAAATTCCACATCCGCAGCAAGCCGTAACTTGTCTCTTAAAAAATATCTCTTCCGCGTCAGAATCTTCCACACTTGATCGTTTCATTCGTAATGTTCCAGTTGACTTTACAAGATACTAAATTAATAAAAATTGACAAATTTTCTCCATGAAATAGAAATTTTATTAGTCAGTAATCTTTGCTAATATTCCAACTCTGATGGATTAACTTCATTTTTACCTCATTTCAAAAAATGTTTGCATTCTCATCGAGTAATATTCAGCGCAAGAATTTCTTATTTTTTCTTTTCTAAGGGCATTAAAACACTTGTGGAAATGATAAGGCTAGAGTAATATTTGATTTTTTGAACTTTGAAAATTATTACAAGTTGTAACAATATTGATTACAACACTACATTTTGTTCTTTCCGCACAATATCAATGATAAGGAAGCACCTGTGTACGGATTATTTCACGCCAAATATTACCAGATCTTGATCGACAAAATTCCACTTCATTTTCCATTATTGATTGTACATGTTGCAAATAACTGTAAAACATTGGTACCGATATGATACATGACAAGGTTGCTACGGTTGACATTGTCACACCACAAAATGCTATCCATCGTAAATGATCCGCTTCTCGTTTCAATTTATTATTTTTAATTAAGTGTTCCTTATCTGTCATTTCTCTGCAATTTTTGTTTTTTTTACAAGAAAAAATTAAAATTCTGCGATTATTACAAAATTTTTAGCTGAACAAAGTTAATGGGCCATATACTATTGAAAAATATAACCGCTGAAATAACAATTAATTAGTAATCGAATTATAGGTTACAACTTTAAAGGTAAAATCATCTGTAATTACTTTCACAGGGCAAGTTCTAAATATTTGCATATAATGCAATATTTGGTTTTTTAATTTGTCATTCATACAATTTCATTTCAAATCATCTTTCGCCACAATGTGTATGTAACATTTGTGCAATGAGGATTACTAATTCAATCATACAAATAATGAACAATTGACAGGTGTTAAGTATATTTCGAATAGAATATGCTAAATTTAGGATTTGCATACTTCCTGTTCGGTATGTATCAATCAATCATAATTAGCACAAACGATCTAAGGGAATTTATTTATCAATGCTATGATTAAATAACTGAAGATAGAGCCTTATCATTTTGCAGCTAATCTTTAGGCTTTATCTGTTATCTCTAAAATCTTTGTATAAATCATTTAATGAACTTAACATACGTTCTAACAAAATCAAAATATAAATATATTGCAAAAATACAATTCCAATAAAATCAAAATAAAAATTCCAACGTGTCAAAAAAAGGACCGGTATATCAATCAATCATAATTATAATTTTTTGATTTGATTTTGTTAGAGTAGAAAATCAAGAAACTAACGGCAACAACAATAATAATAACTAAAATGGTTTATTTGGAGGAAACAGAAATGGTTATTTTTCATGCATATTTTTGTGTCAGAATTCAAATTATGGACGGAAATAATCGCGCAAACACGGATGATATAATTTTAAAATGCACTGCAAAACAAATAAATAAAAATAGAAAATGAAGAATGAAAAAGGCGGAAAAAGTAACGGTAAACAAACAAACAAATTTCATATTGCTTTTCCACTTTTAAAAAATCAAACTATAGTAATTTAATTAAGCGATATAAAAAAATAAAAATATCTATAATTTAATATGGTAAAAAATTTATGAGCAAAAAAATATAAAAATTTTTTACGAATATTAAGATTAGTTATAACTGCTTAAAGGACTTCATAAAAACATTAATTATTTTTAGAAGATGGAAGAGAACCAAAAAAAATGAAAGAAAAAATCACGAAATGATTTCTTTCTTTTTAGAAAAAAAGTGATAATTGTCAATTTTAAAATGTGATACTAATATTACTCATTCGATGATAAGCAAAAATTTTAGGTCCATCAAAATGATTGACAAATGAAATTATGAATTTAATTAAATGATCAATGATCAATCAGTGCAATGTGTTTTTAATATTAGTAATGAGAAGTAGATGAAAGCAAAAAAAATTCAAATTGTAATGAAATTTTTTTATAAAGGAATGAACTAAATTACTTAACAAACATTATCAGCCTTTCATCACCCATTTTGGGTTATTCCTTTCATCATCGACTTTATTAACGCAATTAAATTTAGTGATTAATAAATTTTAAACTCAAAAAAACAAACTAAAATATTTCAAGATTTCTAAAAAAATTGATTCTATCATTTCTGATTGAATGTGCAGAAGGACCTCATTAACAAAGTGTATCAAATTCGCAATGCTCGATAATTAGGATTTTTTTTTTATTTCAGTTAAATTCTAATGAAATTTTTACAACAAAGTTAAAGATATCGGCGGAATTGAAGAATATTTATTAATATTTCAGTAATATTTATTTCAGCAAAATTAGGAAATGTTTATTTTTAGAGGTAATTGTCAGCAAAAATTAAAGTTAAAAAATATCTCAAAAATGAAGAATTAAAGGCTAAAAATATTTAAAACAAAAGTAAACGAAAAAAATAATTTAAATCTATTCTAACCAATGAACAAATGAATTTCGGGAATTTCTCTAAATTTGAGGGATGATGGTGCTGGTTTTGACAATTAAAAAATTTCAAGAATAGCTTTTACCATTTATGAAGTTAATTTTCATGAAACACAAATTATCGAAGTTTTATTCCTTCAGTTACAATAATCCAGCAATTTTTCAAGAACAAAGTGTCGGAATAATATTACTAAAACATGTCTCTATTGGTTTTAAGAAATTTCGAGAAAAAATTAAAAAATAAGAGAAGTAAAGGCAAAAAGTTAAATCTTACTTTAAAAAAATAGCTATTTTTTGTAATTTGCAATATAGCTATTTCAGGTATGTAATTTGCAAAATAATAGTATAAGCAGTTAGTTTAACTATTTTTCATACAATGAAAGCATAGCATTTTTTATGCTATTTAAATTCAGTTTAACAAAAAAAATGTGGTTATCTGTGAGAAATATTTTAATTTCAAATCGATTTATTTAATATTATAAGTAAAATCGATATATTAATAACAACAGGAAAAATAATGAAGAAATGCTAAAAATGGCAGCATTCGAATGAATTAATCAACTCAAAAAGTATTAATTCATTAAGAAGAGATTTGGAATGTATTCAATGAAGCATAATTTATTCATTCTTTCAGTATTTTTTCAAGATTTTTCTTTTCATTCAGTCTTTAACTGAATTAAATCGTAACTTTAAATGGGATGAAATCAAATAGCAAATGAACGAATGATTAATTATTCAAAAATTTAATGATATCTAATACCTTTTTTTTTTCATTTGATTCTACTGTAATAACAGCTATACTATGCAAAATAATGGTGAATCTAAACTTTGAAAAATACAAGAATAATAAGGTCAAGTAAGATTAGGCATTTTTTAAATATCCCAAGTGCTTTTAATGAATTAATTAATTTTGCATGCAAATATTGGATCAGAATTAGCCAAGAAAATTATAAAATAGAAAAATGAAATGCAAAAATAACATGACAAAATACAAACCTCAAAAATTTTACAAACCATACAAACCTTCTAATGTAATGTAATTATCTTTTTTTACATATAATATATAATATATAATTATGTATAATACTATATTCATGTAAAAAATATTTGAAATTGTTACATAAAATATGCGATTTTAATTTGATGTTATCAATAGGAGCAATATTCAAAAAAATTTGTGTCATACGACCATCTCAAAATGAAAAGATTAGAAATGGTACTGACGATTTTTTATTAATAATAAACTCTTAATATGAAGAAAAGAATTAGATAAATTTCAAATAAAATTTATTAGAGTGTAAGAAATTAATGTATTAAAGTGGTTTGGTATATGTTGATAAATCAAAATATACCATTATATTATGTTATTAATAAGTCAAAAATAATTTCAGGTTCATCGACTGGTTTTGAAAAATGGGACAAGCAGATTGCAAGGTACGCTTTCACATAATATATTGTATTTCATGTCCGTTATTGGTTTTATTGCAACTATTTAAATATCATAAAAATCAAAATCTATACAATTCATATTGATAAAATAATTTCGATACTTAATGAAATTTTTTTTTGAACAGAAAATTTTTAATAATTTTAAAGATGAAAAAGTTGTTCATTGAAATTTGCAAAATTTTTAGCAGGAAAATAAGATTTAAAATGTCATTAAAAATATTAATTTTAAATTAATCGTTAAATTATTGTAATCATTAATTTTCGTTAGCATCAAATTTGAAGGTTTTAAAATTATCCTATATTTTGCATGGAAGTAAGAAGGGATGAAAATTGTCAATTATAACATGTTTATTCAAATACAAATTAAGCTGATTATTTAAATGGTGATTATTTGATTTTGATATAAACCATTAATAAAAGCTAAGTAAATGAAGGCAGGCAAATCAGTTACTTCCAGTTTTCAATAAATAAAATTTGTTTTATAAACTAATGGATTAAGATCAGTTACCAGAAAATTTATAAAGCAAAAAATCATTAAAAAATAAATTGTGGAAAAAAATTTGGTACCGAAAAAGATTTTTTTTTCAAATTAACTAATCATTCACGCATTCATAGAAGCACCTCTTGTTAAATTATCATTTAATTAGGAAACAAATTATTAAATCAATCATCAATTAAAAAAATTTACACCATCGTTTATGTATCTGATCAAAATATCTTAAAACTTATTCCTTGTCAGCTTTCCTCATCCAGAAAGATTACTTAAAAAGTGTACAACTAAAAATTAACTCTCAGAAATTATGCAATTTCAATCTCAAGAATGAAAATAAGCATTGAGCATACCGACTCACTGATAATAATTATACAAAATTTCAGTTCATCGATGTCTCAAAATAAGTAAATTGAATGGATTGTTGTAATAAACATCAGTTCACGAATATTGATAAAATAAATTTCTAATTAATAGAAAGAAAAAAAACAATACAGAACTGTTGAAAACATTTTTCGGTTTGAGAAATGCCTTAAAATTAATTTCGTGTATTTACCAAAACTGTAAAAAAATAACACATTAAACTGAAAATAAAAAGAAGTTATTCCAATGATTTATCGAATTGACGAAACTGTATCACAGTTCTTCTTTAAATTATTTATTAGTTCCAACTTTTTGTGCTAACTTAAAACTCAGAAATTTAAAATTTGAACAAAACTACTTGATACTTTAGAAATCGATTCCCATAACGTTTTTCAAATCATTCTCGATTAATGAATCAAATTTTTTGTATATTTAGATTTAGTTAATTAACACTTTTAAATTATTATAATTAGTTATAATAGTAATAATAATTACGGCAGTCATTAAGCCATTATTTATTTCATTAATATAACCATCAAAATAAAGAGTATTAAAAAATAACGGCCAATAAAAGAGTTTAATTATC